TATATGGTTATATGTAATCACATATAGATTTTTTTTAAATGGCATTGTTGGGTTCTAGTATGTTTTAAACTAGATGTTTTAAATGTTTTTAAACGTTTAAAAAAAAAATTTACCTTTTCGATCATGGTGACATTCCTTGAAATACCATACGCTAAAGCAGAATTTAGAGTCAATGAATTTTGGAATTCTGTGGCAAACAGCTGTCTGTAGGAATTGCCTTGACAGTTTGGTGTGGCTGTGGGTTTAAATGTAGACTCATCTCGTCTGTTCTGCACAGTTTTCATGATCGAGTGTTGCATTTGAGAAGCTTCAAGCTGATACTGAAATTTAAAATGTTTTTTTAGTTTTACTTTGTGACCACCTCATGCATCATTAATAAAGGAGGATGCAGTGCAAATTTGCTTTGCTATTTAGAGCTTTGAGTTTCGGGCTAAAGTAAGCATCAACTGCTACTACTCAGGTTTTTAAAACTACTAACCCATCAGTAAGTATTACACTCCTGCACTGTTTGTGCTGCAGACATGAATGATAGCTGAGGTATGCTACTGCTTTTCTGAAAGATCAGACTTTCTTCCGGCAGATGATAAAATCACATAGACTGACCCAAGCCATATACAGGGACCAGAATATGACTTGGGCCCGAAAGCATCATTCGCCAACTATGGTTGCAATTCCTGTTGTTACTAACATAGTTCAGTGATTCCTGTAAACATAGTTTCAACAAACATTTGCAAACAGCATGGCAAGCTTGGTTGGAACTTGAAGCTACAGCTCTCGAACTGTGGTTAGAAACATTGTTTCTTGTTAGGACGTGCCACTATTCTGTCCTTGTTAAAGGGGTCATATGATGCGATTTCAAGTTTTCGTTTCTCTTTGGAGTGTTACAAGCTGATTGTGCATAGATAAGATCCATGAAGTTGCAAAGACTAAAGTCTCAAAACCAAAGAGATATTCTTTATCAAAGTTAAGACTCTGCCACGCCCCCCTAAAACGTCTCGTTCTAACACGCCCCCACATATCTACGTCACTATGTGGAAACATTTGCGTAATGCCGCCCAAATGTTCACGCAAAGAAAGAAGGCGTTATTTAACATTAAAGCATGTCAACATATTCTGTTACACCAAATACATCAAATAATGATATTTAAAAAAGCATCATATGATCCCTTTAAGACATGGACCTAAATGGATTGTGCTCTTGGGCAAAACAAACAACCTAACATGATCTTGAATCTATTAACAACAGTCCTATGTTGTTAAACCAATGTGGTTTAAATGACAGAGGTGCAACCTTGTTACTGCGGTTTCGGGAAACAGTAGTGACTAGTTGGTAAGTTTCTCCAGTGATGCACCATACGGTGGTAGTTAATCAGTGATATATCTTCAATTAAGTTTATTTTTCTAGCCAAAATGGAACATTTCTATCAAAATGGAGCAGTTCCCTCTCTCTTTTTTTCTTTTTATTTTGTGAGGTTTATGCCAGAAAAACCTCTTGCAGTTTGCTTTTTTTTTTTTTTATAAGATGTGTAGATATTTTCACTGGAAAAGTAAAATGTATAAATATATTTATAATATTTAACAATATATTTATTAATGTTTAACAATTTTTTTTAACATGTTTCGGTATCTGCGTTGAAATGTTTGGCACTGTCTGATTCTGCACCCATCTGGAGCTGAGCTGTTTTTTCCTCCATCCCCAGCATCCTGATCCTGAGCACTGACCCTAACAACCGCAAGGCTCCTAACTCATCTACCTCGACATCCCTCTTTACCCTGGTACTGGCACTGCTTCACACACAGAAGATAGATGAGCCTGGGAGGTGAGTCCTGTCTCATTTTGACATATATTTGACAAAGATCCAATGTCTCAAATCTCTTTCTTTCCCTCCAGAACACTGCGTTGCTCTTTCTATCTAACATTCTTTGGACATTTTCATATCTCACTCAAAACATACTTAAACTCAAGAGCTAAAAATGCTAAGTGAACAGTTGGACTAAAGGGACTCAGTGTCACTGAGTGAACAAGGTTTCAGTATCTTTTCCTCACAGTTTTTAGAATAACCTCTAATGCAGCTCTTTTCTAGAAAGCTTTGTACATAGACAGCTTCCATCTAAGGCAGTATCCTGACCATTATAATCAACATTTTTGATAGGAAAACAACATTACAAAACTTCATAAATTCCATCCTGTTTGGTTCCATCCTAAAAATAAATAGCAAACACAAATTGTGTAAAATATTTAATTTTTAATCATGCAAAAATTTGAACAGTGCTATAAAATTGAACTTGGAGCTCTTCTGGGATTGTTTTCTTTGCTTTCAATCCTGACTTTTAATTTGGCTAAAACGAGGTGTCTTAGGAGGCGGCATAATAAACACTGGATCAGCCTTTGAGCCTGGAGTGCACATATGATGCCTTAAAATGCTGTTTTCTTTGGCACCTCACTAGGTTTTGAAACAGAGCATGACTTTCTCCCACACTGACTGAGTGAAATCTGTCCTTGAACACCAGACTTTAATTTCCTCTCTTGTCAGGGCACAACATCACTCTTAATCTAATGTGTTTTCTTGTACTATTTGTGTGTGAAGTGATGGTTAGGACCGCATTCTGTTTCATTTCTCTCTGTCCACCATTGTCAGGTCATGTGGGTCTGATTCACCACAGCATGTAATGGGTCATTGTCCAAAATGTTCAAAAACATGTTTTCTTGGGAATATTGTTTAAATTGGAAATCATTTAAGGAAGGGATTTCCTATGCACCCAGTATCACTTTCCATTCTGTTAGTTCGTTCCAGTTCTCTTTAAAGGGGTCATATGATGCTGCTAAAAAGAGCATTATTTTGTGTATTTGGTGTAGTGAAATGTGTTTATG